ATGAGGTATGATTATATTGTTATTAGAAGTATTTAGCAAAGAAATATCATACTTGAAATCTATTTATTTACTTGTTTTTGTATTTCTTTTTTTGAGACAAAGTCTCACTCTGTAGCCCAGGCTGGCCTCTAACTCTTGGAAGTCCTCTTGCCTCAGCCTCCCAAGTGCCTGGATTATATGTGTGAGTCACCACACTGGACTACAGTTTATTTAAAATGCTTTGAGAAAAGGTAGATGAAATAAATTGAACACATATTAGTCATTAAGTCCAAGTGATGGGTAGGTAGAAATAGTTTAATATTTTATTATTTCTACCATTATGCATGTTTGAAATTTCTGATGTAATAAAAACTAAAAAAATGAAACAAAGAAACATTAACTGGGATGATTTTGCAGATCTATCTCCCTCTCTCCCATTCTCTCTGTTCCTTCCTTCCTTTCTTTCTTGTTTTTTGATTTAGTTATTTTTACTTTACGAGTATGAGTGTTTTGCCTGCGTGTAAGTGCACATATATGTATAATGCCCACAGAGTCCAGAAGAAGGTGTCAGAGTGCCTGGAACTGGAGTTATGAATGGTTGTTAGCCACCATGTATGTGCTAGGAACTGAGTCTGTGTTCTCTACAAGAGTAACCAATGCTCTTAGCTGCTGAGTCATCTCTCCAGCAGCCCCTTGCCCCCTTTCTGATGATCAGAAGAGGACAAGTGCTGGACCAGCTGCCTGGAATCTACAAGTGAAGTCTAGCAGGAGCTAGGCAGCCCTAGATCACCTATGCACCATAGAGAAGCTATTAGTTTCACTGGGCAAATGTTTAAAAGTCTAAATGCTGTGAATCTACAGAGTGGATTAATATAGAATCTATACAGTAGACTCAGAAGTTCCAGGCTCTCTCATACAGTAGAGACCTGATAGGACATGCAAGAATGGGGGTCAGGGAACAGTCCCCTGCAATACTTAGAGCATTGTTGATGCTTCATAGAAGTTGCCAGAGAGGTTCTTTGATTTAATTCAGTGCAGATCAAATGACATGCTGCCATGGAGATAGCTTGTAAATTAGAAATGAAGCTTCCCTGAGTTCTCAGAATCAGTAATAAAACTTGGCACAAATATCTTTTCCAGAAAGCCAATTTCACCAATAGTGAGGAAGGCAAATTTCCATAACCAGAAATATCTGGATATAAGAAACACCATGAATAAAATAGATGTATAAAGTATCTTGGCAGGACTTTGACTGGCATAAATATCTAGTTACGTTTTCAATTAGTGATAGTTAAATATGTAATTTGCTTGGTAGTTGCTCTCAGGACTATTATTACATGATCATTTATTTGGTACTATAAATTTTTTATATTTTAAGATGTGTTTGATGTGTCCAAGACATGCATCACTGCTAATAGCCCCCTGACTCGCTAACAGTCTTTAATGTTCAGTGTGTTTCATGAGACCTTGTGTGGAACAATATTCTGGGCAATGATTATTAATTAATGCAAATAGACATTAGATTGCAGGAAGAGTAAGCTCCCTACCCAAACCCAATTTCATATCACATTCTTAGAATTCTTAGAAAGCAGTGATTCAAAAATTTTGTAAGACCTATTTCTGAATGGAATTGTAAAGTAGATAGTTCTGTATTCAACTCTATTCTCTTCCCCTTTGGAATGCTATCATGAAGGAGGACAGAACCAGTGTCCCCATGCCTCTGTGGAAGGGTAGGAACCCAACTTCTCTATGAATACCTTGCTCTCAGTTGTAAAACTGCTTCCTGTCATGAAGAAAGGGGAATTTTGCTTGTCTTTTGGGCAAGACCAATTAACAAACATAAGTAGCTGTTTTCCCCCTCCTCCCTCCTTAATAGGCCTACCTTAGTACTTTGTCATAGACAGATTGTTGGAAGTGTGACCTTGGCCAAAACATAGATGTGAAAATAGGTCAGTCAACCGTCATCAGAGATGTGAGAGATCAGACATGCCAAACAGAGCGTTCTTTCCATCTCCATAGCTGGTGGTGTTCCCGTCGTCTCCACGCATGATCAAGGAGCAACTCCTCCATGGTGCCTGCGGGACAGTTTTTGGAGAGGAAACTGAGAATGTGTAGCTCCTCATTTTTAGAGTCATCCAAATCCAATATACCCTATGCCATCTCTCTTTCCTTTCCCAAGCCCTCACTGTATCAGACAGTCAGGGTCTTCACCCACTGCAAGCATCCATTGTAGGACTTTGCACCGGCCAATATTGGCATGGCTTGAGATCATTCTTAGTCTCTTGCTTCTCGCTCAAACCTCCCATAATCCTAATGCTGACTGGGGCAGAACTGCATCAGAAAACATTAGGGGACAAGTGTAGTCACAGTGGCGAAGTCCTGTGGGCATGAGTAATTGGCCATCATATGATGCTGCTTGTTCAATGTGACTGTCACTTCACAACTCATCCTCATATGAACCCAGAGTGCAAGAAGGAATGGAAATAGGTCAGAGAGGAACATCAAGTTGGAAATGGGGAAGGGGTTTAGGAGGGTAGATGTAGACTGGCAGCAACATTTTTATTTCTGGGTTGATTTGTATTTCATCACAGTTTCTTATTTTCAAATAACATTAAAGAAAAGCATAAGATGTCTATATAGCCCAGGAAAACCTGAGCATTACACTGTCCCTGACCAAAAGTAGTACTGTCAGAACTGTCTAGATGATTTACATACTCTAATTTCTCTTTCAGTCAAATCATAGGTTTATTCACTTGTAGATATTTCTGTTTTTCCTCGCTGTACAATAGTTGATTATTAGAACTAAAATTATATCCATTTTAGTTATTAGTCTTGGGTCTAATTGAAAGTGAATGAAAAGCTTAATGGATGAAATAGCAGGTACATGGGCTGATAAGGAATGCCCACAGCACTCGCAAATGCTTCAAGATTTTCATGGATTCCCTCTTACATGGTGAAACTTCAGACGTGAAATATGTATAGGCCAGTATAACTTTTAGTAGCATGTGTTTGTAATTTTTCTTAATGTGTTACACTGTCTCACATTTGGGTCCCTCAAATTCTCTACGTTCAAAGCTTGTATCAGCTATTTCCCAAAATTAAGCTCTGTCCATTGAAATGGTGTTAAAATGTCCAGGAGAAAAAATATTGTCACATATGAGTTTTTATAAAGTGAGTTTTATTAATTTAAACTGGCTTTTATTATAATAGCACTATACTCCATTTTTATAGTGTTGAAATTCTTTTTACTGTTGAAATAAATCTTCCCTTCTAGAAACAATGGTGGTAGTTGGTAATTGTAATGTGCTCTCAGTGCTTTTAATTCAGAAAAAGGAAAAGGTGGTAAACTAACATTTTTCCTATTTTTTCCTGTGGAAAGACAGATTTTACTCATGTTAGAGAGCAAACACCAGAGACTCTAACTGCTCTGTGTTAATTTTGTGACTCAAATATGGTTTTCCAGGAGGTGACCAAATAAAAAAGAGCCAGTAGGGAAAACAACACCATTTCAAAGACACTTCTTTTCAAGCTATAAAATATTGGCTGTTAATAAGCTTTTCCTCCTTGCCTAGCACGATATTTCTGAATTGAAAAGACAAGAGCTTGGAAGTCAAGTTAGAGAACATCTTCTTCCTCCACATGAAAGAATTTTAAGTCAGGGCCACTTCAGGCACCTTCACAGCATCTTCAAAGCAGCCAGGGTTATAAGCTACAGCCTACCTTTGGAATTATCTGAGGTTAGCTAGAGGCCAGGCTGATGGGTAGAAGAAAAGCCAGACTTGTGATGCAAAGTTGATTACTTAAACATGCAATTATCTTAGTATATACATTTAAAACCAGGGAGCAGGGGTGCTGGTGTCTGCAAACAAACAAACAAAGTATAATTAGGGGCTGGGAAGATGAGTCAAGTCCTAGGAGCATGAAGATGAGAGTTTGGATCCCCATCACCCAAGCAAAATGGCATAAACCTGTAATCCCAGAGTTGGGAAACCAGGAGATGATCCCTGAGGCTTATTGGTCAGCCAGTATTTCTGAACCCATTAGCTCCAGGTTCAATGAGAGACCCTGTCTCAAAAACAAAACAAAACCAAAATTTAAAAACGCATGGATTTTTCTTTGCTTGTTTATTTCCAGCCTCTACTTTGGGTCGTTTCCCACAAATAGAGAACAGGCTTTATTTCACACTTTTTTTTTTTTATTTTCAAACATGGACATGACTTAAGATATTAAATCTATATTTTTAGGAACTAGTGCAAAAACTGGGCAGTCTCAGGATAGTGTTGCAATGACACTATGATGTGCGAGCACCAAACTCAACAGTATGCTTCAGAAATACCTTTTGTAAAAGGGGAAAATGGTGTTTCATGAACTAGGTTCAAATACTCCTTCCCTTCTCACGAAATAACCTTTTGGGGACCTGACCAATTCATAAATATATTCCCACCCACAGCCTTTCTCTCTCAGCACATTTTTCTTTGTTTATTCCAAGCATCCTTTGGTCCTCTTAATAATTTATAGTTAGTGAACGCCCCCCCCCCTTGGGTGTCATTCACCAACCTGTGTAGGGACCCTTGCTACCCCTGACCTGGTGCCAGTAGCTGGGTCCCCAGAGACCCCACACAAGCTTGCATGGGACTGTGGGGTGTCCAGGTAAGGCCAGGTTTAGGCCAGTACACTCGTATGTGGAAGGGGGAGACCATTTGCCCAGCGAAAACGCCGAGAGATCACCAGACCAGTGCAGCCACCTGAACCGCGCTGGAGGCAGGAGATGGGCGGGAGACTCTCCCACCGTTTTTCATAGGAGACCCCAGCCTTAAGGAGCCCAGGCTGGGGTGTGGGACAGCTCCTTCCAGCCCATGCTGTGGTCTTGGGTACTAAGTGAGAGGAGGTGCGTGGGAGGGTGGAAACTGCTGGCTGTGGGCGGGGCGAGGGTGGCGCTCACCCTGGGGCCCGAGGAGCCTGAGGGTTCCAAGCAGGGCTGACACCCCTGCCTGAGAGCTGTTGGGAGGAGCCAGGAAGCTGCTGCTTTCACGGGCATTGCCACCCCAGCTGGAATTCAATATCCAAAGTCCAGCCGCTTCTGAGGGTAACAGGGTTCGCTTAGGGACGTAGACCAGGACTCTCCCAGACCGAACCTGAGCAGCCTCCAAAGTACTGCACCAGCGGGTGCAGGTGGCAGTTACGGGTGGAGGCGCCGGGCTGAGCTGCGCTGCGCTGCGCTGTTTCCAGCCCTGAGAGTGAATACCAGCGCTGTTGGTTTTTCACAGACCCAGGACTCTGCTAGATCTGCAGTCGCTGCCCAGTGTCCCAGCTCTTATCACCAGCATTCTTGGCAGCAGCCTTCTGGGTGAAAACTCCTGTTTTCTTTCGTTTCACCCACTAATCCCAGAAAGACTGACACAGGACATACAGGCGCCAGACCTGAGCTTTGAGGACCAGAGATCCTCAGCGCGCGAGAGGGGCGGCCGGGTCAAGGTCTGGTGGCCCTGTGACTCCCATGCTCCTGTCATGGCTAACAGGACTCGGGGCTGGCCTGATCTTCCTGCCCTTCCTGCAGAAACTTCTGTTCCCTTACTTCTGGGACGATTTCTGGTTCCTGCTAAAGGTGGTGCGCTATGGAATGCAGATGGAGATGAACAAAGTGAGAGGGGAGCTGGTCACCGTGCTGGATAAGTTTCTGAGCCACGCCAGGAGGCAACCAAAGAAGCCTTTCATAATTTACGAGGGGGACATCTACACCTACCAGGACGTAGACAAGAGCAGTAACAGAGTGGCCCGTGTCTTCCTGAACCACTCGTCTCTGAAAAAAGGGGACGTTGTGGCTTTGTTGATGAGCAACGAGCCCGACTTCATTCACGTGTGGTTTGGCCTGGCTAAGCTGGGCTGCGTGGTGGCGTTCCTGAACTCCAACGTGCGCTCAAGGTCCCTCCTGCATTGCATTCGCACCTGTGAGCCCAGAGCCCTGGTGGTGGGCGGAGGTAGAGTACGCATGTGGGATGTTGTTTGCTCTCAAAGTCAACCAGCCTATTTTCCTGCCCTTCTTCTAACAATAGTTCGAATCTAATACTTTGGGGTGGATGATAAGTTTGTAGGTTATGAAGTCGTATGTATGAAATCGTTTTCTCATTCCACAGGTTTAAGTCCTCCCATCCCCCTTCAATCACCTACTTCATTATAACTTAGTAAATAGCAAGACAACTTCAGAAAACTGTTAGGAACTCTGCTTCCTGCCATTTGGGGAAGGGGCACAGTCAATGTTATTGGTACCTTCTGTCAGTGCAGGAGCTCAGAGACACAGAGCTGCCATCAGCTCTCTTGTCAGCCGGGACAAAACGTTTACTCAGTAAGAAAGTTATGGACCTGATTGTGGAACTCCTAGTAACTGTATCGAGGAAGGCAACATTTGGAGAACAGACATTTTTAATCTGAAGCGTATGCAAGCTAGGATATGGCCAGTCAGCAGGAGCAGGCTCTTGGCAGACTTCCTCTTCCTGTTTTCCTGCTCTTCTCTTCCTTCCTGCCTGTACGTCTTTTCCTTTCTTTCAGTTGCACCCTTTCCCTTTATGTTGGGGTTAAGGCCGGTTACATATATTCAGACAGAACTATGAAGATAAGCCTTTAGTTTATCAAGAAGCTAGGAAGAGGTGTTGCTCAGCAAACTGAAGTATGAAAAGTGATACTTTTTTGATACACTCTAAATGGTTTTTACAGTTTTTTCTTGCAAGATGGTAGGAAGACATGAAGGTCCATGGTAAAGGTTTTGGTAAAAGTATTTACTATTTTAGATTAATAGATGCATACTGGCTCCTCATATAGAATTTTAGAACTTCATAAGAGTATGGAAAAAGTCCAACTCCTCCTACATGGATCACTAAAACCAGAACTTGCCAGTTGACTTTTTTTCATATATTCATACATGACAAAAAATGAGTTAGGCTACATACAGGAAAAGGACTGGCCCCACAAGCCTGCCACTCTTCCTCCCTACTCCCCTTTCAGCTCAACTTGCGGCCTGATCAGGTGTTAACATATTTAAGTCCTGCTTTCAGTTTGTTTACTGCCACAGGAGTGGAGAAGCCAAAAAGGGGCCCTTGGATAGTGATTGTTGATTTTTCTCCAGGCCCAACTTCCACTTCACTTTGGAAAGAGGCCAATTTTTTGTACTTACATTTCAGTATGTACATGGTAATAAGTAGAATCAATGAGTCATGCAGAATTTTGAAAACGTGGTAAAACAATATTTACCAATTAATACAAATAAGAATGTGACAGAAAAATGAACAGTGTTTGACTATGGAAGATGCTGACAGGTTGTCCCATTTCTCACCTTGCTGCCCAAACTCATTAGATCACTGTTCCTGTAGCAAACATAAACTCCAGATTATGCTAACAAACATAAATTCCCCTCAGAAGAGCAAACTAAGAGGGTGACAGTGCCCCTGAAGAGGTGACTGTGGCCATGCTGTGATTCCTGAGAAGCATCCCAAAGCTTAGTAGTCCTCTCAAAGGCGTTGTGCTGGTTATTTCTCAAATTGGTATTCAAACTTTGCTGTTGGCTGGGGTTTAGTTAATTACATTGGATTAACATTACAGTTCACTTGTTCTAGCTTCTGCTTTGATCTCCAGTAACTAATTGCATTCTTTCCTTGTATTTGTGTTTAACGTCAACACCTCCCCCCATTTTAATATTTAAAAACTATAGGGACTGGTGCCATGCAGACCTAAGTTAGATCAACTGAGCCATCTCTTCAGTCCCATAATTTATATACAATTTTAAACAAGTTTTGTAGGCCAGGTCAGATAATATCCTTGATGATAGGCACAATTTCCATCATGACTACCTGGCAATTGTCTTCAGGACTAAGCCGAAGGAAAGCTATTAGGTAAGCCACCAATATCCCCTTCCTAATAATTGGTTATCGGTACCAATTATATGAGCTGCTGCCATTTCCTCAAGGCTATGTATCAGGCATTCCCAGAGGCTCTGAGAGGGAGAAGCAATGCCATATTTTAGAAGCTGGGATGGAAAGAAATTAAAGAGCTTATGTAGACAGCACAGTTTAGTAGGTTGCAAAACTAGAACTTAAAACTTGACTTCTGATGGAAGATTCTGCTCTACTATTCAATTGTTTTGAGGACTGCCAAATATATTTCAATATAATTATGAAAAATACACTTTTGGGTTATTTGAAAATATTACAAGATGGAAATATTAAGCTATCAGGTTTTTCATATACAAGTAATTAGAAAAAATGTTTATGAAACTGTTACTCCCTTCCGGGACTGGAGAGATGGCTTAGAAGTTAAAAGCACTGACTGCTCTTGCAGAGGGCCTGAGTTTGGTTTCAGCCCCCACATGGTGGCAAACAACCATCCATCACTCCAGTTCCAGAGAATCTGATGCCTTCTTCTGACCTCCTGTCTTCGGGCATTGTACAACATGAGTATACTTACATACATGCAGACAATACGCTCATACACATAAAACAAAAATAATAAATAAAATATTAAAAAGTGAAACTGTTATTCCCATCCAACAGAGTCTAAAGATACAAATCACTTGCAAAGGAGTCATATCTATGTATTTGAGGTCGTGACATCCTATATTTCCCTGGAAAGTTTTAACACTTTCTGAGAATTAAATGTGAATTTACTTTTTCTATTTATCCATTTACTTTTTCTCAGCACTTTTTCTGCTGAACCCTCTTTTGCCTCCAGTGTGCTGTGATTATTTACAGCTACTCAATTAAATCATAAAATTTCATAGCCACCTGGTAAACAGATACTGGTATAGCGCTGAGGAATAAATCATTCTTCAGACTAGGTTTTCAGCTCTTTGAGCCAAAGAAGTGTCCTTGTTCATTTTAAATTTTCAGTTTTGAATAAAGGAAGCGTTCAGTAAATGTATATTGTTGGATGAATGAATATATGGATGAATGAATGGCAGCCTGTGCAGTACATATGAGCACTTGGTAGCTTTTCACTTGTATAATTTCGCTAATAAATTTCTCACATTTCCTTCAATTTGGTAGCTGATTTAGAGGTCAGGGTTTCCTTGTTGTGTGTTTGATATCAATGTTGATAAACATAGGAATCATTATCCCAAAAGATGAAAGTGGTTTGGATACACCAGGTATCCACAAGTTTTGCTACTATGTAAATGCATATATTTCTATCCTTTCTCCATGGAGCACATATTAAATCATTATATTGACAGGTAGATAATTAAAAAAATTTTATTTATTATTTTTATTTTAAGTGTATGTGTGTATTGCCTGCATGTAGGTAAGTGCACCCGTGTTGCACAAGGCCCACAGAGGTCAGAAGAGGCTGTCAGATCCCCTGGGACTGGAGTTACGGACAGTTGTTAGCTGCCATGTGGGTGCTGGGATTTGAACCTG